GCAAAACAACTGAGCTGTTTTTAGATTTGAACAATATCAGGGTTGAAGCCTTTCTCACATGTATTTTTAGAAAGACTCTTCCAGATTCTAGCTGCATGAATATGAAATGCTGCATCCCCTGCTCCTGCTCATAGGAAGCCATCACAGAGTTCTGAGCACAGGACTAAAGCTGTGTTCAGACCGCCAACGCTGGAACGTTGAGGCACATTCTCTAGTTTTCAGACGCACAGGACTTCACACCAGAACGTCCTGGTCAGCGGCGGAAGTGCCGGAAGTAGCAAGCGGACTTTGATGCTAACAGGTTTTTGTGTTAAGTTGTCTCCAATAAGGCCGCTCTGCAGCGTGTCTGTGTCCAGAGACCTTCCACGGACTTTATATAACAGTAGTATGTGTTCACGAAGATGTGCAATAAGTTTACTTTATTATTAAACGGTACTTCCGCATCGGCGAACACACTCGAAGCAATTGCATAAAGTCACGGGAGCATGAAAACGCATATGTTCACAAGCACTATGTCCCCCATGGTCAACCCTGGTTTAGTCCTGGTGTAGCTCCTGTTTTGGCTGTTTACAGTATGTTCAGTCTGCTCAGTCTGTCCGCTAATGTCCCCATGACCACTTTGCAGCTCTCTGATTGGTCGCGGCACGAACGTCCGAGGAAACGTTCAGCAAAGTTTATCTCCTGCGTGCGTCGACGTTCCGCTCCTGCTCCTCCCCTTCGACTTTCCCGCCCAGTCCGTCCGTCTGCGCAGTCCGTGGGTGCGTTCCGAGACGCACATGCATTTTGACGCTCGAACGCGCGTCACCGTTGACTTTGCATCGAAAGCAGACGCAACGCATGATCCGGTCTGAACACACCATGAGGTGGTCATACTTCCTTGTTCTAGTCAGGACTCTAGCTGCAGCAATTTAAAAAAGCTATACCCGATTTTTTTTCTAAGTATTTCATAAAAAGGCTTTTTACTACATACAAGTTGTATCATAATACATAATTTAATTGAAAACTTTAGGTCATTGATTCAGCTGTGTATGAATTTTATGCCGTGAAAAGTGCTGAGCTGAGTCTTAGCGGGCCGTTTGTTCTCAGCCTGCGTCCTCTAGCCTGCGTCCTCTAGCCTCCACAGCGCTGCTAAACACTAGGGCTTCGACTTCAAAATTTGAATATAATTCTAAAATAAAAAATATATATATATTCGAACAAATATTAGACAGCCCTTATAATTTGAAATGTATTTAATGACTGCAAATAAAATAGTTAGCTCCCAAAGGTTTCACCGGGACGTGCTAGGCAGGTAATAGCTAAGCTAGCCAGCTGTTTCACGGTAACTTCCGGGTTTTTCGCGATCGCTTTTTGTCACTTTAAAACAGTATTTTTGTCATGAAAACGTTGAAAGCAAAGTCTGAAATCGTCCGTGCATGTGTGTTAAGGATGTATATGTATACTGTATTGTCCAATTAACGTTTAATGGTGTTGATTGATAGATATGTATTTGTTTATTGAGCGTGGCTAGCTCCGCTAGCTTCTCTACACAGACAAGTGTGCAGAGAAACTGCACAGTGTAGTGACAGGCGCTGAAAGCTTGTACTTGCAGAGTAATGGCAGTATTTTACACACCTGAATTACAAACAGAGATTGCATCGGGGCTGCGGTCATTATTGGTTTGAGAGTTCTGTTATCAAGAAAAAATGATCGGAAGAATTGCATTCAAGTCAATGGAGTATTTTACTGCTGCTGTGAGGAGCAGTATAATAAATTATAATTAAACATTAGAATATATTCTAACGTTTAAATTAATACATTCGGACGCGAAACTAGCGTATTATTTTACTTATATATTGTGTTAGCAGTGCGTTGCTTTTGTACCTTTTCTTCAGTGATTGTTGTACAGCTTGTAAGAAGTTGCGCTAATGCTAATGTTAGCATACGTATCAAATCGCAAATAAAACTAGGTGGCTCCGTGGGATGAGAGCGTAGTGGAAATGAGAAGCCATTAAGCGAGTTGGGGGGCGGTGCTAAACATTCAAACATTGCAGAAACGGGTATAGCGCCTTTAAATATGGCAAGTAAACAAACCATTTTACAAACTAACCATATGTAGCTACTTGGACTATGTGAACTGTAACAAAAATGTTACTACGGCGACCACTGCTCCTGACGTAAGTCTTCGCGGTATCAGGAAGGGTCAAATGCAGAGGATTGAATTGCCCTATGGGGATCAATAAAGTGCACCTTTACATTTATAAGATACCAGGGAACACTGTTGTGTGTCCATGATGATCTAAATCAATCACTGGATTTGAAGACAAACCAGGTTTCATCACCAATGGCCTCCAATTGACCTGAGATGACATGTTGCCGCTGTTGATAGGAAACACATTTTTTTTCGACAATATAGTGGCCTCAAAGTGCAGTTGTCATAGAAGGTAGGGAAAAAATAACATACACCCAATTCCTGTCACATACTATAACTGTTGCACTTGTTCATTCGGATGGTTCAGGATGCTCTCCAGAGGATCCAAGCCATCCTTCATTGAATGTGAATGAAGACAGTCAAGAATGGGAATGAACTCCCTTTATGGATTTCCGTTCCAAATAAAGTGGATCATTTCTACCAAATGGCCTTGACCCCAACACAATTAACCTGGCTATTTGTCACTTTCAAGGGCAGCCACTGGGAGTTTGGGGAAATTGGCCAACTTGTCATCATCCTTCCCCCTTCCTTGATCAGTTATAGAGGCTCAGGGAATGATTGATTTGGATTTACTTCTACATTATCACTCCATGTCTAATTTTCCGTCACGTACCTCCATTTAGCCAAGCTGTGTGTCTTAAGGCATTTAATTAAGATTCACTGTACTGCTCTAACTAACTTGCTAATCACTACTGCACCTTACGAAGCAACTCGGGCCTCCTAACTGGACGGATGAAAATTCAATTGATTTCCAATGTAGACAAAGAACTAGACCCGAAGCACAGTGTGATCAGGTTAATGAATATCAATGTTAATCTAATGAAGGGACAGAGGAAGGCAGCCAAATCAGGTATTATGTAAGCTGTATCTAATCTCATACTGCTTGATTTGGTCGAGAGCACAGCATTTTTTGTGAAAGTACCCCACCTTGATGATACCCGTAAATAATCTAGTAAAATGTAGTTCAAATAAAAACGATTTGGGAGACTATTTTTTGTGAAGTACATTACATACAAAAACTGCTGCTCAATGTGCAACATGGGATATATTGCAATCAATCAAAAGTAACATCAATAATATATACCTGTATATATATATCTCACTAGGCTGTACAGATAAAAAAAAACAAAAAAACATAAGAATACTTGAAAAAGGCATAAAAACATATTTTGGTCTTAAAATTATTATCTATTTCAATTTATCGTAATTATGGTAAGGTTACCTCACATATTAGGTAATTACCTAATATGTGATTTTTTTATTGCCGAAAAGTTGTCAGTGCAGAGTTTATTAACTTTTTATTTTGACTCCAAATTTTAGTATGTTAGCTAATGTTCAAGCTGTTAAACACCTCATCATTGAATTACTGTATGTTGAGACTGCCGTTTCAAGTTGCAACCAGATTACTGTAATCTATCCGCTACATTACATGAAAACCTGTGGCTTACATTCAGGTGCAGTTTATATGTGGACAAATGTATTTTCTTTAAAGTGCCAGTGGTGCGGCTTATGTACAGGTGCGCCTGGTTCAGAAAGTATGATTTGTTGTTTTCAATACATTTCTTGACATTTGCTTTTTTACTCCATTTTGTCATATTAAGGCTCTACCTTAAGATCCAACCATGCAAAAAAGTATTCTGCCAAATTGTTAGGAAAGTAGAGTAAAATTGAACCATTATATATATTATCATAATAATATTATTACGCACACAGTTTTCCACATATCCTATTCTGCCATCAAGGCTATATGAGTTTCGATCAATAAAAGACAAGAGTCATATTTCACAGACTAAAGCACATATGTGTCTGTGTCTCGTGGACAACAGAAGATGCCAAAAATCTCAACTGTCACATGATGTTTCTTCAACGTGTAGTTATTTCTTTATTGTGCCATCTATTCTACTAAATGCACCAGCTCCTCCTGCAACAAAACAGGAGGAGCCCCATAAGATGAGACTGCCAGCCCCATGCTTCATACTTGAAATGGTGTTTTCTGGACGATTCACAACCCTCTTCCTGATATATCGACTCTAAGTAATATAGTCATAGTAATAGACTATTAGACATTTCAAGTTTAAGGTGTGATATTCAAGGTGGTATTTGTATTCACACAGTTACGCTCGTGTAGTGTTTCTTGAGACAGACTCAGAGCAGTTACTTTATCACAATCTTATTCTGCTGCAGTGGAGCGATTATCAGGACGAGGGGCTTTCCCCGTCGCCTTAACACAGGCTTGGTCAGGTCGTCTGTTCCCCACAATTGTTAATTCACCTCTTTTTTTACTCCATTGATCTGCTGCCTCCAGTCCAAACATGCCGGTCTTTGTGGGGCTGTTAAGCGGCTCTAGAACCGGACTGTCTACTCTCCTGTTGTGAGCATGATATCTCCAACTCCCCATGAACTGTCAACTTAAGAAATGGACAAAATGCACAATACTTTCTATACACAGTAACTTAGTGGAACCTGTTTCGTAAATGAAAAAGATATTTAAGCAAGACAAATTGTCACGTGGGTGAAATTAAATGAGACCCAAAATGCAAAACTGCAAAAAGTAATGGATTTAATAAAAAGATGAAACAAATCCAAAAACCACAAAGAACGAGGACATAACTAAAACAGACTGGGGAAGACAATGATGGAACAGGGAGTGAAGGAACACACAGGGCTAAATACAAGACTAACGAGACACAGGTGATACACATGAGGGCAGGGCTGGTAAGACAGGAAGAGCAACCAAAGCAGACACAGGGATATAACAAACTACAAAATAAAACAGGAAATAAATCTAAACCATGACAGTACCCCCTCCTCAAGGGACGGATCCCAGACGTCCAAAAAACAACCAGGGAGGGAGAGGGACCGTAGGAAAGGCAGGAGCTGGGACGTGGAGCCGGGGCCGGGGCGTGGAGCCAGGGCTGGGACGTGGAGCCGGGGTCGGGACGTGGAGCCAGGGCTGGGACGTGGAGCCGGGGTCGGGGACGTGGAGCCGGGCGGACGTGGAGCCGGGGTCGGGACGTGGAGCCGGGGTCGGGACGTGGAGCCGGGGCCGGGACGTGGAGTGAAGCCGGGGCCGGGACGTGAAACCGGGGCCGGGACGTGAAACCGGGGCCGGGACGTGAAACCGGGGCCGGGACGTGGAGCCGCCGAGCTGGAACCCGGCAGGGTTGGAGCAGGAGCTGGAGCGGGGACTAGAGCGAAGCAGGTACGAAAACCGGAAGGCCCCCTGGATGGAGAAACGATGTCCAGCGGAGCCAGGTCAGGGACGAAAGCCTGCAACCACCCAGGACGGAACAAAGTGTCCTGCAGTGGTCCAGGACAAAGACAAGAGAGGGATGCTTCCAACTCCTGCAGCAACTCTCCAGTTGGGGATAAAGGCCAGAAAAATTAAAAATGAAGCAGTCTGCTTGGGCCTTGTGTGGTTCCATCATTCTGTCACGTGGGTGAAATTAAATGAGACCCAAAATGCAAAACTGCAAAAAGTAATGGATTTAATAAAAAGATGAAACAAATCCAAAAACCACAAAGAACGAGGACATAACTAAAACAGACTAGGGAAGACAATGATGGAACAGGGAGTGAAGGAACACACAGGGCTAAATACAAGACTAACGAGACACAGGTGATACACATGAGGGCAGGGCTGGTAAGACAGGAAGAGCAACCAAAGCAGACACAGGGATATAACAAACTACAAAATAAAACAGGAAATAAATCTAAACCATGACACAAATATTGGAATAAGTTGTTTATGTATTTTTTTTCCCGTTTCACTCCACTTGTTTGATTCTACAACAGTGAAGAGAAGGTCACAAACCCATGTGGACCACATTATGTCAGAAAACTCCTGATGCAACATATCTTTTCCAGATCAGCTGGCTGACTTTTCTTCTCTGAAAAAAGATAAAAATATAAGGTTTTAACCAGTGGGGCGTGTCCCAGCTCCAAAAGGTTCATGAGCATGTGCGCTGACATGCTTGCGATCCCACACAGATGGGATCAACCAATTGGGAAATGCCAGATATAAGACTTCCAACGCTGTTTCTTGCACAATGAGTATGTCATTGTTAATGTTATGGAAAAGTATAGCTTCTATGTTTTAATATGAAGATATCACCTCTCAGTTTGATTGGACCAATCGGCAAATCCTCAATAAATGAATAGATATGAGAGGCCGCCTGGACAATTATTTTGACAGGAAGGAGGGGCTTTCTGTCTTTGTGGTTGAGTCTGTGTGTCTGACTGGAGTGCATATCTGACGGATTGTGTGATTGTCCCGAGCTTTCATATACAGCTGCAAATGTACCGAAGAACGAGCAATTTTTGATTTAATTTGTATCAATCAATACAGTTCAAAATTGCAGGGCTAACAGTAAAGCAGCCTTTATAAATGGTTTGAAGATATAAGATAAGATATTCCTTTATTGGTCCCACAACGGGAAAATGTCAATGTCATCAAACAGGGTCTATTATTTAATCTGATAGCTTCTACAATTAAAATAATGAAATAATAACTAATAAGATGGTAAAATATGTAGCTGTAACTGAACTTTGTTCAGAGGTATTTAGGAATTAACGTTACTTAAAGTGATCAGATTCCAAAGTTATGTTTCTTGTTTGTCGCAAGTTCTGCAGAGTTCCAGATAAGAATTCCTCAAAGATATTGAAGTTTAGGCCTAACAATGTCTGTCAAGGTCATACTTTTATGTGCTGATTAAAATGTCCATTGTCCCACAGAGCCATTGCTTCACACGGATGTGGCAGCAGACAATGTACTTGCATTGTCGAAGTCTGCAGTGGGATTTATCAACTCTAAATCCTAATGTTTTCTGCAAACACTGCCTTATTTATAGGTGGACTTCTGTGCGGAACTGCTCGTATAGAAAGCGAATTACTGCTCAGCCGAGAGGAGAAATTCTGCTTACCGCGTTATCAAAATGTGTTATAAAATAGAAGGAAAACAGTAAATTTCTGCATTGTTTTTAGCAGCACAATAATGTTTATGTGGGATGCTATATACAAACGTCATACTTTGATATTCATCATCTCCGGCTGGGATCTTTAACCTGCTCACCTCCACCCTCTCTCTGCAATTTTACTATTTAAAAAAAAATGGAATAATGTGGAATCTACCTCAGGTGGAGTGTTCCCATCCCAGTCCTCGTTTGTGTTCTGGCAGTAATAAACGAAGCCAGAGCATTTGAGGTGTAGAAGGTAAGCCTCTGCAGTGCGCTTCATGTTTCATAAAGAGATAACGGCCACTAAATATACCCGAGGTGAGCCAAAAGATAGCCAGGCATTAGTAGAGGTATCTACGGTGTGCAGCCAGAAAAGTACCCCCTCTTATAATTCGAACTATAGACTTTGAAGAAGAAAGGGATTTGGACTCAGATTTTAAGGAAACATTTATTTAGGTTGGGAAAAGTGTGCAGTAAAAAAAAACTGGGGTTCCCAACTACTTTTCTATAATACATTTTGATTTATCAGCAGACAAGTTACAAAGTTAATGGTTGTGAACCAATCAGACCACGCCATTAGAAAACATGCATCTTTTGCAAAGATGAGGCCAATAAAACATGCATGTGAAAAAAAATATGATTTGAAAGTTAGGTATCCTAGATTTAATTCTCATAAAGAAATTAAAAGTCATTGTTCTGTCGCCCCCATTGTCTTCAGTTTCCATGGTTACATGTTAATAATATGACAATAATTTTGTCATGTTACGGCAATATGTTCCCTTTTCAATATCTGCTTGAGGCAAAAAGCCCCATGTGTATTAGAAAACTCATCAAAAGGTGACAAAAAATCTGGCGCACAACATAGCACTAAACAAATCCTATAAAGCCGTTTCATTTAGTGGAGCTCAAACACAGAATCAATCATTAATGGCTGCCGCAAACGGCATTTCCGAGCGAATGAGAACTGATTACTGATGCTGACGCACACTGTCCTCCCACTCTTCTTCACCCTGTGGAGTTTTAACTAACCAAAGTGGATGTTAAGTCATTGAAGAGAAAAGGGTGATACAGTCAAGCCAGCCTTCCTCTGCATCTCTGTGGGATTAAACAACTCTGCTAGTGTAAAATAAGGAACAATTATCTTTGCTCAAATCTGTGTTGGTTCCAGTGGGTAGTATTACGTATATTATTTAACTATTTATATTCCTTTTTTATATATGTGTGTGTGTGTATATATGTAGGTGTGCATGAATGTATATATATATATGTGTGTATATGTGCATATGTATGTGTGTGTGTATAAGTGCATCTGTTTGTGTGTATTTGTGTGTGTTTTTTTTTTTTTTTGACCAAACAGAGACTTCAATGCACTACTGCACTTTCCTGAAATTGTTCCTTTTCTTTCTTTTCATACATGCAGATTCTTGTAGCACTGTATCCTAAAGCAAATTTCTCTTGGGACAATAAAAGTTTTATCTTATCTTAACTACAGTCCGTTTAAAAGGGGTTCATGGAGAACATCGGGGATGTTATAAGGATTTGTATTGAATATAATAATATTCCATACAATACAATAATATAATTGTGTGTTCCAGCAGAAAGAGGTTTTGTGAGAGTAAAATCTGACCACAACATTCTGTCTTCATCTGATGCGAAAACATTTTCACCCTACATTTTAAAAAATAGAAGTGTAATTTTCAAAAAGCTTTTTCATCTATATAAATATGGCAAGGACGACATGTTACTATAGCAACGTACAGATGTGCGTAGACACGAGAATAGTAGGTAATCCAAGTAATCAATTAATTATTGGTTTAATTTGCTGGTTTAATAAACATAAGGTAGAAAATGGGTGAAATGGCCAAAAATATTTGCATACATACTGTAGGTTGAGTTTAGCACACGGAGAAGCCATGGAGCTTCAAAGACCTGACACCATTTCACATACCTGTAGATACTTGCTTTATTCTGACAAAAATAAAATATGAATGATCAACTCTGTTGTTTTGTAGATTTAAAGGCCTGACAGAGCCAAAGTGTTTTTTAACTTGAGTGAGGGGTTGTAGTTGATGTAGTTTTAAAACAGTTTTTCTTTTTTGAAAGTTATATACATATATATGTATGTGCAGTAATATATATATATATATATATATATATATATATATATATATATATATATATATATATATATATATACTCACAGAATCTCCCTGACTGAGTAAAGACTGTGCTCATGTGACATACTGTACAGATTCTTCTTTTGTCTCTTATGTACAAGGTTTTATAACAGTCATTAGAAAGTAAATCTCCTTGGCCTAACTTGGCCCTGTAAAACTCTGGTGTTCGCTGCTTGATAAATGGACACTCAACACTAGTTATGTTGATGAATGGGAATTTCTCAATAACGGTGCCAGGTATGAGGACAAAAAACACCTTCAACAAAACTGCCCCAAAAGTGCAGCCAGTATAGTTGTAAGAGATTATGGTACATACATCCCAGATGACTAAACTGCCATAGATTAAGAGATTTTTCATAATGAAAAAGAAAAATAATGTGGATATACTGAACTAACATCAGTGAGGACGTTCAGCTTAGTCGCAGATGGGTGTTCAAAAAAGAGAATGACCCGAAGCACACTTCCAAACTTGCACCAACATGACTCAAGGAGAGCCAGGTCAAGGTGTGTGAGTGGCCATAACAGCCCTGACCTCGATCTGATTGAAATGTGTGGGTAGAGCTGAAAAAGCGAGAAGGGCAAACTGCCACCTATTTACTGTCAGAAGCTTGAGGCAACCAAAATAGGCAACCCAAAACATGTGGCAATTCTATAAAAAAACATGTAGCCCCTGGTGCATGTAAACAAGGGCTATAACAAAGGTAATTGATTAATCGCAACTAATCGAGTATTGAAAAAATTGTCATCTAATTGTTTTTGTAACCTTACATATATTTAAACATGCTGAGGATAGGCTTTACAACTCCGATAATTATAGAATGATTTATTTTTAGGTTTACTCAAACAATCCAATGTGATTTGCTCTCCAGGAGTACAAGTTTATAGCTTTATAAAATCCCATATCTACTAACCCTTTGGGATCTAAACAACTAATTTATTCATTAAAATAATAACTAATTACGGAAATTGATTATCAAATGAATCTGTAATTCTTATCCTCTGGTTATGTGATTCAATGAAAACATAAATCATCATTATAATTTTGATATTTAACAGTAATAAAATAAATAGCTGGGAAAATTAGTACCAAAAGTGTGAGAAAGTGAAAAGTATTTTTCAAAATCTGGCTACAGAGTAATCTAAAACAATTTGATTTCTGTGAATGACATGGCTGCATCCAAATTCACACACATATGCTCTTTCTTTGCACTTTAAATACATATGACGTCATACGTTTAGCATCAACAGTGTGGAATGATGTTATTTCTTATTTTCCTGTGAACAAATTTAATTTTGTAAAATGTGGTTTTTGTCATCCGCACAATAGTTTCACATCCGTCCGTCAGTATGGCAAGACGTTTTCTCTTGGTAAAAATGAGAAGCCACCGAGGCCACAAACAAAACGACTGTTACGACAAAACATCATTTGCAATACATCCCCAAAATCCTGTAGTTTGTAGACAGCTTAAGGTGTATGTACATTTCTGATTTCAATATTGATGTGTTAAAATTGCGCTGATGCTCCACGGTGAAAGTATTTTTAAGTAACCATGGTGACAGTGTTAAAATGGCAGCAGACGTGTAAGTGTAGAATCGTGACGGTCTGAAATCCTCCCTTCAGACGGAGTGTCAGCACAAAGCCGACTGGACTACAGGTGTGGAGTCTGGGCGGTCAGCCTGCGGAACGCTGCAGAGGTGAGCTGTCCTCCTGTTTATTTGACAGGCAACGCCGCTAATCCACTGCTCCACATTGCTCGCAAAGAGGGGGCAGATGAAAAGGCCGTAGAGCACACCTCCGAACAGTGTAACACTGGACAGAAGCCCCCAGAGAGAGGTGTAGAAAAAAGAAAAGCAATACCATATGTGTCTGGCGTGTATGAATAAAACAGCCGGTTGTCTATATGATTTCACTTCATGAGCTTTAAAAAAGGATCTGTCATCCGTCACATCTGATAAATGAGAGCACGAGGAGCACATGGATCGGCTTGCTGCGACTCCTACCGCCTTTATGTAAAACCATTTAGAAAGCTGTATCCACTACTGAGGGACTGAAAGAACTGTCTGCTGGCAACACCATCTTGACACTTTTACACGAAAGCTCTGCAGAAGTACCAAAAGCAAACACATACAGAAATGTCTCAAATACAACACACACCTTTAATTTGTTTTCCCTTCAGAAATACTTCAAGCAAAACATAATGGAATAAGCGCTTGCTGATATTACACAGGTGCATCAACACAAGTGGTGCACAATGCATACTCACAGTTGTACAGCAGGCTCTTAATGCAGGAGTGTCCCAAATATTTCAGAAGGATGACACACAGACTTAAGCATGGATTGATAGCCCAGATTGTAAAGTTTTTGGTTTAGAACGGCTAAAGATTAATTGTGGCATACCCATAGTGATTCACATTTGACTTCTGAAATCTGAAATTGGCTGAAAGAAAATTGTTCGACAAACCAAAACAAAAGTGAGTATAGTAAATGAACTCTGAGTTATTAGGTATAGCAAGCCTTTAGTTGGAGAGCTGAAGTTAACAGGATGGCAATGTGACCGTAAGCAAAAGGTAAAACAGCTATGATTGGCCAGACTTTGGAAAAGCCTGCTGAAAAGGCTGTTTATTTGCACACATCCACTAAAATAATGTATTTATTATTTTTATTTTTTTTCAATAGGTTAGGGCATGGGTATTCAACTCAGCCCTCAAGTCTTCAGGTTAAGACTGGAATCATTCTATTCGCTCTCTAACTTCTCTGCCTCTGTTAAAATCTGCTTTGATACAATATCTCCGGTATTCATGTCAATGTTTTGATCTTAGTTTATGAGACCTAAACTTGTCTTGTCTCCCGATTATTGTTATTTCCATCAATATTAATAGTATTATCCATATTTTGTGTAACATCAGTACAGTCACGATGTGTGTGTGTGTGTGTGAGTGATTGTGTGTGTATTTGTTATGGTTGCTTTTTTATTTTTATTTTTTTATTATTACTATTTGTTTTGTGTTTTTTTTTTTTTTTATGATTTTCTTTTGTCTTATTTGCATCTGTTTTGCTGTATCTGTCCTTGTGAAATCTTGAGGACCCCCTCGAAAACGAGAT